AATCTAAAAACATATAAGAAAGTAGATTCACTCTGACCAACAATAGTTACGGGTACATCAATATTAGGCATTCATACACAAGCTATCAAATGCGAAATAGTCAGAAATATGTCCCAGCTGCTGAATAAAATGGAATAACCCTCAAAAATTCAATCATGCCTAGTATTTGGTGAATTCTATTAACTCCTGTGTATATTCTCCTGTGTTCATCAGGTCTAATACCAATAATAAGCACCCCTGTGGATTGTTTCCAGAGGGAAGATAATAAACACGTATTTTTTTTCTTCTCAACGAGAACAGACACAGGTCAGATGCTTTAGCTCCATGGTATTAACACAGAGGATTAATCAAGTAATCTTCACACGCGCTGCTGAATGTCTCGCCTGAATAAACTCAAGTCTAATTCAATTTACAGCCAATACATGTAGAAAATCAAATAGTGGATCAGCTATTTAAGAATGCATGATTAATTAATACCCAGACTGATAGATTTAGTTGAACTAGCGATAATATACAGACAACTAGATTACGTCTAGAAATTTACATCTGTCCACAAACAAAAATCTATATATTTTATATTTAAATAATAAATGCTCTTACGAAAAAATTTACACCAACCAAGTACATTTGTAGTCTACGGTACTTCACCTGTAATTTCTGATAAATTTCCACTCAATACAAAGTACAGGAAAATCAGCAATTAATGTACACAATTTGTAATGGTTTATCACGAAAGTCTGTAGGTAAGTATTTGAATCATGTGTATGTGTTTTAACACACAGTCCAACATATTCATCAAGATACAGAATACTCTCAATCATAGCACTTCTTTTAAAATTTGAAAAAAAAAAAAATTGTAAATATATTTTTTTTGCTCAAAGTATGTTACAATTTTTTTTTATTATAAACCGACTTCGTTCAACCCTGTGGAAAACTGGTCTCAATGAGCGAAAAAGATTAATCAAGTTAAAGAGGCACTGTTCATTTCAATGAATGAACCAGTGCTATGTTTATTGCAAAAACATTATTTTTATTGTACCATAAAATCCTACCATCAAGTATT